TCTCATTTCAATTTATAAAACAATTAAAAGTAAAACAAGCAATATCGAGAAATTTACCTGCACACTAGCTCCGTTCACAGCGACACTATTCAGTCTATGCCAATCTCGTACCACGAACTTGACCGCGGACGAAATTGACAAAACCTTGAACCGAGTCATCATGGCCTGATCTGCTACTCCAAACTCAAGAATCGCAATATATAACTAAAATATTATACAATGACGCGATGACAACTGAAAAATTACCAAAGCCAAGGAAACTTTCTTAAATAATTCCTATCAAACAAGTTACCAATAGCAGTATTATCTTTTGAGCTTAACAGAGCCAATTGGATGTCATCATCTTTATTGACTTTATTGATGCTCTAGAATAGATTACAGCAAAGTATCATAGAATATATTACGTGGAGTGTAAATTGAATTAGAAAAGTTTATAATTTATAATGAAAAATAAAATATTCAACAAAGTGAATCATACAATTTAATGTTACCACGAATTATTAACATTACTTATGATAAAGTTGCAAATAATATTACTACAAAAATATTTAATATGATTATTGTATTTTCTCCTCTTGGGACAATTTTACTATCTTCTCGCTCTCAGTCCAAACGGCTTCTGAGAAATCATCGTCGGCTGCTTTTGGCGGGAGTTTAAAGACTTTGCAATCCAAGAAAAATTTCCCGGATATTCCTTCAACGGATTTATCGATGGCGCAATGCAACGTTGTCTGAGCGCCTTCCTTGGCACTCTTGAATACAATACATATAAATACTAATTTCTATAGATGGTGTGAGTTGCTTACTTTCCCAAAGGACCAAGTGAATATGTTGATCATTTTGAAAACCCATGTGCTTTCTCCAATGCGATTTCGAATGGAAGTAAAGATAGGCGTACAAACTATGCCTGGATATGCGGCGTTCACTGTGATACTGTGTTTCGAAAGTCTTTTGGCGAAACCCCTCGCTGAGATTATATTACATAACTTGCTGTTATTATATTGCAATAAAGATTTAAAGGTTTTATGAGAAAACCTGGCTGGTCTATTGATGTCTTCTACTGTATTTACCTGGTGCAGGAATGCCCCAATTGAGCTGACAAATACAATGCGACTTTTTGGCGTTTTCTTTAAGATATCTAGAAGATATAATTTTCATTTATTGCTTATGAGTTTCTATATCAACGCTATATACCAACTAATAGGTGTGTTAAAAGGAATGAACCGAAATGGTTAATGTGCATATCCATCAATATTCCATCGTCGCTGCAGATTTCAGCAAAACCAGCAACACCTGCGTTGTTGATCAGGATATCCAATCTGGGTTCAGTCTTGATTATATCTTCGGCAAATTTTCGAGTTGACAGCAAACTGCCCAAGTCTATCCATTTGTAGATGATATTGTCATTACCAGTTTCTTCAACAATTTGTTTTCTACTGGATTCAGAATCAACGACATCGGCAATTATCACCCTGCATCCTCTAGACGCTAAATGCAGGGCAGTTTCGTATCCAATACCTACTCAAAGATAACTATACTAAATCATATTTATACATAAAAATATTGATGGATTTACCAGAATTACCGCCTGTTACCAAAGCTGTTTTTCCTACGAGACACACTTCAGCTCTACACCATCCCATTGACAGTTTTGAGTAGATCTTTAGAAGAATTCCAGCCAAGAGCACATAAAACGCTATTGATATTAAACAACTCATGATTACTCTTACTGAATATAGGCTCACTACTGCGTCATATTATAGCGGAATATACATATTTATTATCTTTCATATCAAAAAGATAATGGA